GACGCCACAAACAAAGGGAAGGCAAGTACATCATCCAGTCTCCTTTACTTCAACCTCTTGTACCAAGGACATTCCTCTGTTTCTTCTTCCGACATGTCAGTGTTGCAATCCTTCCCTGTTTGGGCTTCCAGTGCTTCCAACTCTTCCATAACAGATGCGTTCAGAACGTTAWCTTTGGCGTTGATTCCAAGGGCACGGGGACAGCTGCAATGTCTGCATATCATTCTAATGTTCGCAGAGGTGTAATGACCACAGAGCTTGTCATGCTGCTCTGTGTCCCCAATGAAAAATGCAATCGCAAACTTCATTTTCACATTAAAAAGYTTYCCGTTCCATGGACAATTCCTCCATTCAATAGCATGGGAGGATTCGCAAACTTCTTTGAAAGAGGCAAAAGCAGCTCGTAAACCATGATGGAGATTGTTGACGTTGTCCACGGATTGATTGCTTTTTTCCTGTGGATGAAAGTACATTGTCTCCCAAGCATCGGGTCTGGTTGAAGGGGTATAATTGCTTAGTATCCCAAGAGTCATGTTAAGAGGGCATAGTGTTGTGATTCCATGTCTATCGATAGCAATACCATCCATACAGTATAATTGGCACAAGAATTTCCTTCCAAGTTCGCAGCCACCATTGCCTGTGATGTAGTTCGGAAATAATAGTGTCTGGAGTAAGTTCGGGGTBGCGGACTAAAGACGTAGGGTTTGTTTGGTTGGGGAAGGAGAGATTCTCTTCCTTGATCAAAGATGCATTAGTAAGGAGGGAAAAAAGCGCCCGTCAGAAGGACCTCACATATATTTGTTTATGACCAACAACGCTGCTTGATGACCAATCAATGAGGTGTGGTTCAAAATGATCATTGCGTAGTTCCGGTGCTATTTTGTAGCATTCCTCAAAAACTTTCCGAYGGGTTCGAATTAAACAGTTTCCGGCACTCCAAGAAAAACCAGGTAAACTCTCGGATTCAATGGCCCAATTGTAAAGTTCCCTCTCAGCAACTAAGGGTATGTCGTGGTCTCTCATGATCTTCATCAGTTTTATTTTCACTTTGGTTAGAGCAGAAACATACCTATTCACACTGGGAGTAACAATTATTGTGTTGGAGTYGGCTGTGACTTGCTCTGCAGAGTTGACAGRGTCGAATATTGGCGCATCATCGTTGAGATCAGAATCAACAGCATTCATTTCAGAATCAATCAGGCAACGATCCACGAGTTCCACAGATGGATTGTACATCACTTGACGGTCAAGAGTTTYGGGCAAACCGCTTGCAGGACCATGATTAGTGTTGGTTAGACAAAATCATCTGCTAACATCCTCCTTGTCCAGCRTGATGTTGTAGAGAGAAGAGCTGAAATCATCGACACCGTCACCGTATAGAGAATAATAGTCAAAACATATACAACTCTCTGAGAGATGAGTCAATAATTTGGCAGATGTGATGGCACCAGTTTTTTTGTTGTGTTTGGCACTGTAGAATATGGGGCGCTGGGTACTGCGATCACGGGACCCGTGGCAGTTCTGGCAAAACACCTTGAGCTTGGGAGGACCCATATTAACAATCAATGCATGGGTGAAGGAATGTAGGGTCCAAGGATACTAATTTTYGGGCATAGACCATGAAGTTCGATGGATAAGGGGATAGATAAGAGCGTGATTGAGAAAACATGTTCCCAGAACAAGGAATAAAATTAGATGTTC